TTTTTTTTTTTTTTTTTTTTTTTTTTTTTTTTTTTTTTTTTTTTTTTTTTTTAGTATAAAAGTTCTTTATTTTCCTTTGTGAACTTCATACATATTAATTGAATTTATCATTTAAGTGCAAGCCATATGCCTTAAGAGACTTCCATTGGAACGACTTGCACTCGCTCGGTGATTTCCAGATCCTTAAGTGTTGTGTGAAGGGTGGTGCCCTTTTTGAATCTGTAGTCCAACTGGCGTTCTCCTTTCTTGTTGGCTAGCTCGTAGTTCCGCAAATATTCAGTGCTGTCCTTTCGAATTACGCATAGATCCACGTTGGATCCAGATCCAAGATCGTTGAAGATTCCAGAAGCAATAGCATCACGTACCAATTTTTTGCCCTCCTCCTCAGATAGATCGGGTTTCCAACGGCTCTCGAAAACGGTCATAGCTGCTAGAGAGCCTGATCCCATGGTTGCGTAGGGCAATTTATCGGAGCTACCGTGAGGATGAATGGAATATATGTGCGGTCCGTACTTATCGACACCACCCAAGACCAACGCAGCACTAATGTGACCCTGGTAACGGAACAACATCTGCTTTAGTATGTTGTTAGCACATACTACAGGGACCTGTCGCTCAGTGTTGAGCCGATGGAGCTCCAGCTGTGATGAGATTAAGTCTGTGGTCATCTCCGTATCAGCGGCAGTGCCGGCACCACAGCAGCTAAATCAACATATATTTATATTATATGTGTAAGTATAGAGCTAGCCTTTATTCTACTTACTAAATGTTTTTAGCCAGATAGTGGATCTTGGCGCAGTTTTTGTCAGATACAATGGGTCCTTCAGTGGCACGAGTGTCAGCTCCCAATATGACACCATCTTTGTAAATTATACCAACAATTGTGGTGCCAGTTTTCGTCATTGTCGGTGGCTTGAAGCCGCCTTGTATGAGGGCAGCATTGCTGAAATTTTACAAATGTACATACTTGAGTAAGCAAAACTAAGAGCAGTCACACAGTAATTTTACCGCCGACAATTGTCAAAGTTGAAGCCAGCGCGGGGTAGATCTGGGGCAGTATCCAAAGTCATGTTGGATTAATAATATTCTACTCCTTTTAAAATCACAAACAGAATGACAGTGCAAATGACAGGCACAAATTGTTGCTTATCGAGAAATTTTCACTTCGCATACTTTGTATGTTGAGTATCGATAATAATTTATCGAGTTGCTGTGATTAATGCGTCCCTGTGATGAAGATGCGATTTTTAATAATTTGTGCAATTAAAGAAATTTGAGACACATTCTGCTAATACTACTAAACTATTTTATTTATAACTAAGGCTGCGAAATCTTGACACAGCTAAACTTATATTTTTATGTGGAAGTGCTACTGTTACTTTTAGTCGCGACAGTGACTAGGAAGTGAAAAAATACTAAAAGCAATAAAAGAGTCGTTCTTGTTATATTCCAAACCAACAGATGTTAATAGCTTGCTGACTTGTTTAAATAATAATTATATTATTGACTGAAATTCAATGGCTGCGGCAACAAAACTGTTAAGAAAATCATTGGGCGGTATTTCGCAAATACAGCAATATCGAAACATTGGTAAGTTATTTCGCAAACATTTTGAGTGCCGCATGCGGAAACTTTATGTAACGCCGGATGGGTTTTATGTTAGTAAAGTAACCTATTAATTTTTGTGAGTTAAAGTTTCATTAATAATTGGTAACTAAAAAACTAGCAAAATCAGCGAACAGTACTTCAAATGGACAGCGGAATGAACTTTTCAATCAAGAGCGGAGCCGCCAGCAGGGTGCAGTTGGTCGAGTTGAGAAGATCGAAGTACGTTATTTGGGTCTACCCGAGGATGTGACATTGGTCATGAATAATAACATCTCGACTCCATATAATTGCGCTCAGCACTTAAGCGAGGGCCTCTGCAAACGAAGTGCATTAGCATTAATAGACGGAAGTGTTCCCTGGGATATGCACAGGCCTCTGCAGGAATCCTGCACGCTGCAGCTTCTTAACTTTAACGTATCCGATCCGCATTTAGTTAACAAGTGAGTGAAACAAAATATCGGCGTATACACAGTAGACTAACAATATTATAAAATATTATTAGAGCCTTTTGGCGCACCTGCAGCTTCATGCTAGGTGCTGCCTTGCAGAGGGTTTTTAAACAGGAAGCTAATCTTCAATTACACAGCTTTCCGGGACCAAATAGTAAGTTTAAATATATACACTACAGTTGAACAATATTTATCGATAATACTTTGCAGTTAAATCGGGAAGCTTTGTTCATGACATCGTGCTTGGCGTGCAAAACTGGGAGCCGACGAAAGCTGAAATGCGAGCCATTTCAGCAGAAATGGTTAAACTGGCGGCACAGGACTTCCGCATTGAGCGCTTGGAGGTGGATCTGGATCTAGCAACGGAAATGTTCAAAGACCTACGCTATAAAAGTGAGCAATTACCAAGTATTGCACAGCAGCATCAGAATCGCGTAACGCTTTATCGCCTTGGCGAACATATTGACATTTCGCGTGGCCCAATGGTAGCCTCCACCCGTTTCCTTGGAAAATGCACTGTGTTAGCGGCACACAAGTTGGCCAATGAAGGTGTATCGGACGCATTTTACCGAGTACAAGGCGTGGCCCTGCCCGCCGGCTTTGCATTAAATCACTTTGCATACGGCTTGCTGGAGCAGCGTGCCCAGAAGTTGGTCAGTCTGATTACTTGTGAATATCGACTCCTTACATTCAGTAATCCTCTTTTTAATACCCATTGCAGAACCCCGCTCGTTTGCCCAACGAACCCTTTGAGGAACAACGACAAATGCAATTATCTTAAATTGAAATGAAAGCTTAGTACATATATTCACAAGAGGTTCTTTAATATTTAAAGCTATAGTCTACAAAAATGTTTACCCCATACATTAAAGATCGTTATAAAGACCTTAATTGTAAATATTGTAACAGATTTTGTATTTTTTGTAAGTCCCTAAAGCTGTGCACAAAAATACCTCTTAATTGGAACATATATTTATTGCATACACTATTATTGTTTATAAAAACAAAGACTGTGTAATTTTTATTGCATATATCTTGTACATATCTAAGCATAAATATGTGCGATAGTTTAAATTTTTGGTTGATATTTAAAATTCACCTGCTCGGCAATGATCATTCAATGGAACACTACCAAATATAATGTTTATACTATATATATAATTTTGTACGGATTGGCTGTCAAGGTTTCTTCGATCTCTAAAGACTAGTGGAAGCAAACAGAAAACAGTTTCGTGCTACGAGTCAACTAACATTTAAGAGGTTAGGTGTATTTTAGTCAATGGATCACGAGCAGACAAAAGACTATATACATATGTTTGTATATTTAATGTATACTACTAACTAAGCAACCAATCGTATGTTCATTAGTTTTTGGGCTAGTTTAACAGCGTTTGGTTTTCCACACTGATTTTCTGTAAATTTTTTAACAACCTCATGTTGCCACTACGGTTTTTGGATAATTGAGATTCTAATACTGTGAAACAGTGAGGGATTCAAAAACTTTGGAATAAATCCTCTAAATCGTGCTCATTGACTGCAATAATTAACATTATGGCTCCTCCCAGGAAAATGCCTAATATTTGAATGAATATGCCTTTCGGGTCGTTGGCCTGATCGGGGCTGTGAGCCACGCTCATCGTTGGCACCAGATCGGCAAATGCTATGTACAGGAAGGATCCCGCAGTTGCCGCATATATCCACTGAGTCATGTCGTTGCCAATGCCGACAAGCAGCAAGCCAATGGACATACCCACAAAACTCAGCACCGAGCTGACAATATTCATATAGATGGCACGACGTATGGATACGCCCGTTTGTATAAGCAAAGCAAAGTCGCCCAGCTCGTGGGGCAGTTCATGACATAGGACGGCAAAGGCAGTAGCTAGCCCTGTGACGGGATCGCTGGCAAAGGCGGCTCCTATGGCCAGGCCATCGGTAAGATTGTGGAGTCCGTCGCCAATAATGACCATGAATGCCACTGGGGTCAGTGGGCGATTTGGAGACTTTTGATCCTCTTTTGTCTCGTGCAGCATGACATTCAGTTCACGAGGTGTCTGTGCCTCGAGTGTTGCCTGTACCTTGTCCACATCTTTCTGTGTGCTGTGCGTGTTCGGGTGAGTGTGATTGTGTGCGTGACCGTGTCCATGGCCATGTCTGTGTCCATGACCAGCCTTATCGCCCTTTAAGATCGGGATGAGGTTTTCCAGCACATACATGAATAAGGCTGCAAGAAAAGCACTGCCGCAGAGCAGAGCTGCCTCCGTGCTGTGCTTGTGGCCGCGCTCCTTGTCCTTGTCTATCAAACGAATAGTGTCCAATGCATGCTCGTGCTTCTCCTCCTTAAAAAGCGCATGTGGCAGCAGGTGCATAAAGGCGTCTCCCGCAAGTGTGCCAACGGCTATCGCCACTAGGAACTTAAGTATCTTCTGATAAGCCATCGTCTTCATTAGCGGCACGAGCAGAATACCCAGCAGCCCACAAGCTTTAAAGGCAGGTTTGCTTAGTGATTTGAGAGATGTGAGACTTTAATGCGATATTCACCTGAGAGCACAAACATGGAAATGCTCGCATATATCCAAGCTGTGAACAATGAAGTATTAAAATATACTCTAATGACTTCCTCTTTAGAGAATTACCATTCCAGATCCTCAGTCCCCTGTCCATCTCAGAATGCTTTGGATGCGGTGCCGGCTGAATACAAACTCCATTGTCGATCTGTGCCAGCAGCGCTGGGCACAACTTCATGAATGCGCCTGTTGTGATCCGAACGTTGTTGATGAACTCATTATACTCCTCCTCCCAATTGTGCTCCTCCGTCTTGACAATCTGCCTGTACCGTGTGCCGCGGTGCAGATCGTTGTGATCCACAATCAGCGTCAGCAGCGACTTTGGCGATAGGCACGTGGCCTCAGGGAACGGTGTTCCATCTATGGCAGCTGCAGACGGTAAAAAGATAGTTTTTTTTTTTCATTTCAATAGGGTATTCGTGCCATCGCGATTTCCCTTAAACCAACATTACGGAAATAAAGCTTTAATAAAAAACATTAAAATCACCATTGAGTGAGATATTGTCTTAATTTAAGTATTGAATTTTGAAAAAACACGGTAGTACTTGAGCCAATATATTTCATTTTATAAATTTTTAACTACATGCAAAAGATTTAACAAAAAAATCAGTGAAATTACTTTAGATAAGATCGTATATTTAACAATATATATATCAAACATAAAAGCCCGCTTTTTACAAGAGCTATATAAATCACACCTGAGCAAGGTAACGGGTAATAAAAATGCTTCCGATTTTTGTCAGTGAAATGTGTAGTGAAACTGGGCAGGTATACATAATCATAAAACGAATGGGAAAAGATCAACAGTTATGGTGCGTTTTTCATTTCCTCCATCATTATAGGTCTGCGTTTATAGTCCAGGGTGATATGATTACAAGTATGGGGATCGTTTTACTGACTTTTTGTTGACGTTGCTTTAGCACGTTCAGCGATATGTCTAGACGGATACATATCTATGTATGTATATACAACACCTCTGTATATAAGTAATCGCAAAACAATAGATATAAATTATCTGTATTTATCTGGAATTAACTCTTAACTGTAAGGAAATAGTGCACTCAGCCCCACTGTACGGGGTTCTAACTTGACTAGAGACCGAGATATAGATTATGATCTGGCTGCCAGTCTTAGCTCCATTCTAGAACTAAATGTCGCATTTGACGAGAACAACAACACGTTCTTATCATTATGTCTTTTTGTAGTTCGCCTTCTAATCAAATATAGTAATTGAAGGGAATATTAAAGCTTCTTAGCGTTTATATTTGTATTTAAATTATCTATTGCTAAATGGGGATCTACGAACTGCTTCAGATTGTTAGATAATATATAATATTTATATGGCGTTGGCACAATTAATGATAACCCAAAGCCACAATATCCTATATTTGAATGCGACAATTGGAACGGGAAAAATATACCTATGTATATCGCATTTAAAATTACGTGGAGATATTTCACCTTAGTCTCATTAGTATGGATTGGCATATTGACAGTCAGGCGGATGCTTCCAAGATCAATATAGTGTTCTTTTCCTTATCCGTCTACCTATTATACTCGTCAAGAAACAGTTCGTATACTTAGTCGGGGATGAAGAACACGCCAGCTTATAATTGTCGTTTAAGTTCTCATTTAAACTCATTGTGTTCTCATTGTCGTGGGTACCTTGCACTTTTCCATTGTCAAGTGCTCCGCTCGATTGTGGTGGGAATATTTGACGTATACTTGACTTACGCATACGCATACATACATATGTACATATATGTATATCAAGTGTACATATATCTGAGTAAACAAAAAACAAGCATGGCTTAAGCCATACGACTGATTTACAATGCTTAATAAAATTCGAGGCAAATTGGCTATAAATAATTAGAGCTCATCTTATCTCATCTATTCGCAAAAATTCAAGAGTAGCTGCTTACCACTGCTCTCCCTGGGGTGTCGATGCTTGGGATCGTGCATCTCTCGGAACTCAATCAGAGAGACATCATCAATGGAGTTATTTTCGATATTGTCGTCCTTCTTATGCAGCTGATTGATAGACAGCAACACGTCATTGGAGGCATCATCAGTACTAGAATACGTTGAGTTAATCTTCACCTTGGTGGTGTTGTAGCCTTCCGGCCGGTGCTCTTCTATCGTATGCGTAGGACCAAATTCGATATGCCCAAGGCCCAAGTTGTACATCAAGTGCTCCAAGCCCTATGTACAAATATATGTGGAATAGAAATATTAAATTTACATGTAATAGCGAGGAGAAATTACAGTGAGTAATGTGGTATTAATAATAAAGTAACACTTCAAAAGAATAGGGAAATTTATATATGTATGTACTTAAAATAACATCAAAAACAACTTTTTTTCGATGATACATGCTTCAAATGATAAGTTAGGTTATTTTAGGCCACATAAGGATGAGCTTATAATCGACCCAATCAAAGTAAATTTGTCTACTGAAAGCCCAACGCATTACACTGCATCCATCGAAAATGAACAGATATTCAAATATAGGTTCATTTACTGACAAAATATTTGTTTATGCGGCGTCACGTGTTAACTGTGGATGCACGAGAATCTCACAAAAATCACTTGTTACCGAGCAAAGCAATTATATATTTACATGTCTATGCACGCCTCCACTTACATATTAATGATGGAAAATTGAATGAAGCTGGGTTCGTACACACTTGACTTGACTTGACAGCCTCTGTCCATTGGCATGGGCATAGGGAGTGCGGCCTGTCTGTTAACAGCTGAGAGAGTAGCACAGCTATTATTTATATAGTTTAGGACACTCAGAAGTCCATTTGAGATCAGGCCCATCAAGGGGTAAACGATAAAGTTTTTGGCGGCAGTCCACAGCTGTATGGATTTTTTAAGCAGTTGTTTTGTATGTAAAGTCTGTCAGTCACATTAGTATACACGCGCTTAACCCATAAGCCAAAATAAAAACAAGTAAGTACTGACTGCGGATTACTCATTCACATCGCATCAGCGATTTAGTAGCTAAGTTTAGTTCTAATACTGACGAAACTTCAGTTTTATAATTGGATGCTATACACCCCGAAAATGTGAAAATTACAGGATATTTTTCGATCTGTCAAGCCCCTAAAGGGGCGTAAAAATTATTATTATTATTATTATTATTATTATTGTCTCATCGATAGAAGAGGTTACTAGTAACTTAACTATCTAAATTTGAAGCTTCTAGCTCGTATACTTTACGAGATATAAACTTTTGCGGTCCGCATCAATAGTGTCCAAAATATAGCAGAACTTGAAAAATCATTATATTTTCAGGTCCGTTTTGCTACGCTCCTAGTAGGCGTACACATATACATATGTATAATTTGTTCATTTATCTTTATAAAATCATAACAATCTAGCTGTAAGACTCTAGGAGATATAGTTTTATCCGATTTGCCACGTCCCCAATGGGCGTAGATATATCCGCCATAGCAGGTGTTCTTCTGTGGTGGTCGACGCGGATCTACATTCCGATTTGCCACGCCCCTAGTGGGCGGATCGGGAAAATTTTTACACTTCAGAAATCGGAGATATACACGAGTATGTGTTGCTTTAATAATGCCGAAAAAAGTGAGTTCATACGATTAGACGGACGAACAGCAAGACGGATATTGCGCAAAACCAATATACTCATTTCTTTTTCGCGAATGAGTATGAAAAGTGAGTGTACTACATTTTGTGTTGGTATACTGAATTATACCCTGTAAACACATTCTGTATTTATAAATTATATGGAAATCTTATCTTATGAGATTAAATGTATGTGTTCAAATTGAGCAAATAAAATATCCCTATGTGTATCTCTATTATAGATACATAGACTTATTTATATAATAGCACATGGATATCTGTTACTTACTTTGAATTTCTACAGGGTATACGCATTGCTCTAACTTCTAACATCACTGCCGATATTAGTGGACCAGAAGGGTACCGCCGTTTTACTTTCATTCAGCATATTCTATGCCAAGAGCTGTTGCCGGGACATGCGCTACCCAGCCATGATGGCTGGAGCATGTGGTCGCTTAGTTGGCATGCCGCATACGTAACGAGACTTTCATTTAAGTGCATAGAGGTATTGCGTAGTGCCGGCGACGCCTACGCATGAGTAATGCCAATTAATTGGACTTGGCTGAATACCTTATGGACAGGTGTCAGCATCGCCATCAGGCATGTACATAATGCACTAATACATAAACATGTATATATAAACATACATATGTATAAATATTGATAGCACGAATGTATTATGGTCAAAGGCTATTGCCTAATTTTTACTGCCCATTCATGATATGCTTGCGAAAAAATAGGCAAAAATAATTATACTCAAATTATTTGGATGAATAATATTGATGGTACGCGAATTCATATATAGTATCATTAATTTGTATAATTATATTTAATAAATAGTGCAAACCTCTTCCACCTAAATCAAACTGAGTGTGTTATGCGTGTTGATACTAAACTCTCTGATATGTCATCTCTGCTGACCTTATCGATGTTTAAAATCATAGTAAAAACTTAACGTTCTTAAGTAACGCAACAAGAGATTAAGGTACTCAAACAAAAGGTTTGCATTATTTGCATTACTTTAATGTGTCTTAGTAAACGTTGTTGAAAATAATATTATTCTAGTAGCATTTCTGTTCGACAATTGATGAGGACTATCTATAAAATTACTTTTGAGCCTTATTTACGACTTTCAAATTGTTAAAGGATCATTTTGAAAATTAAATTTTATAATTGAACTCAAAGCAAAGCATTAATTTTTACTAGAAGGAGAGGCAATCCGCTCTATCCCTTTCATTTGTTCTTTATTATTTAGATAATGTCAGCTATTTAGTGTCACAAGCTTTGCATCACATCGCACATAGCATAAGCCGTCGCTTCTTAATATTTAGAAATGATTGGTCTATGGGTGACTGCTATGATTCGTACTTACGAAACATTTGTATAGGCGACCGACTCTTCATAAATATAACCGACCGACTCTTCAAGTATATATACATATAAATATCGCGATGTATCTGAATGTATCTGTCCTTGTGCGTGCTTGCGGGAGTGTTTGCCAGACGAGTGATAAGCATATGTCAAGATTTTGATTAAATTTATGATACCGTTAATGCTAAGAGTACATGAACAGCCTCTGGCTACGGTTCGACGTTCGTTGTCTGTAATAAAAGGCTCCGTGTATAAGAATGATTATAAAGATTACTATTGTTGCGACGATTGCTACAGCCCAAGCCTAGTATTTACTATCTAGTTCTACGTTTTAACTGGCACACATTTATGTAACGAACGATCACACAAATACATAATACTTCTGGGATATCCGAGACAAGGTTTCAGATTTCACTCCCAATAAAGTGTTGGTCATTGAAGACTCTTAACAGTTTTGGAAATCGTCAGCCAATGTGATAAACAGTGAAAATATAGAAATTACCTACTATATTTGACACGTCGAATAGTACATACCCTTTGAGATGTGAAAGTGAGAACAGATTATAAGATTAATTGAAGCGTATAGCTTCATAAAATCTTTTTACTAATGATTTCATTATTTTATATATATTGTCTTCTTAATTTTTCTTGCATAACATCAAATCGTATTTTAAAAAAGTCATAAATAACTAAATTTATTTATTGTTGCCAATAACGGTTACAACAACAAGAACTGAAAATGTTTCCAAAAATGAGGGAGACACTAAGCTGATTGACTCATCTCTTAAGAACAATCAACTAAACTTTCCTTAAATTCTTTATCATGAAAAGTGACTGTTGCGTGTGTTTTTACCAAAGCTGCAAACACACAATTCCCAAATGGTAACAGATTAGCAAGTGTGGCACAGTAAAGGTGATTCAACACAAATACATGACCTAGACCCGTGTAAAACTTAAAAATTTTACAGAAATATATCCATGTAGCTATAAACTGTATGAATTGGACTAATTTAAAAATTTCGGACAAACATATGTGGGCGATTAATCTAGTTGATGAACTTTATTTGGGTTTACCTCGAAGCTAATGGTGTTGCGACTACCGTACTTTTCAAATATCTGCGTCACATAACGATTATATTCGGACGATGCGTAAATCGTGGTACCCCAAAGCAGCCCGACGAAAAGGTATAGACCGATAGACTTCAGCGCCATTGCAAATAGTTTCAAAAGTTTATTACTTTAAAGAACACTTTTTATTTTCACGATTTGTGCCGAACAATTATTATGCCGCTCTAATCATTTCAAAGGCGATTTCAATTTAAATGCCAGAGTCGGAACGCAGGTGTCCGTAATCCCGTTCGGAGGTCTATTGAGCGACCATCTCGTCTGTGCGCCGCTTTTGCACTGATCTTAATCGCTTCTCAGCGCTCGTCGCTCGTCGCATTTATTTGTTTGCCAAGCTTTCGAAATTTCGAGAGCTTTTACTGCTGCCGACCGATATTTACCTTGGGCTTTTAAATGCAGATAAAAGCTGTCTGATTTTGGCTTGACTGCGAACAGTCTTTGGCTAGAAAAGCGTATTATTATATATTTTGTAAAACTTATACAATATGATTTGATTTACACGAGTACAAAATTTGTTACAACATCATACTTCTGTTTGCATAATAACTCTTATTTCTAACTTATATGAGAAAGTTAATCTATTGTTGGTTTTGGGTTTGTCTTTTCTCTATTTATTTTTTTTTATTTGTGCTTAAACGCTCTATATATATGTATAGATTTGTATATATGTATATATATAGTCGTACATAATCACATACAACATATTTAGATTTACAAGCTAACGATATTGGTTTTTAATTGACTTCTTTGAGAATTATAAGATATTTACAAAAATGGTATTTGGAAAAGCTTGCCGAGCCTATGAGGTACCTATAATAATTGCTTAGCAGGCGAATTATTCATTGATCATTGATTCCTACAGAGAAGGCACTTGATTAGCCCTAATAATATTAATTGAATCTTAGTCGAACTTATCCTGATTTGGCATACAGATGAAGAATTTGGAGCACCACATATTTATAGTTTGAGAGGTGTCGGCCAACCATTGAACCGGATTATGTATGGTCAAATAGTAGACGGGAATGCCGGAAAGTATGATCACAGTGCCGACGCTCACCTCGGTGGGGGACTGCGTACAGGATGCGATGACCAGGAACAGGCAGACAATAAGATAAATGATGGGTAGTGATAGATTGACGCGTATGGGTCGTTCCGCCTTGGGTTGCTTAAACCGCAACCAGAGTAAGCCAGACACAGAGACGAGCGTGAAGAGTGCTTCCACATAGCTAACGTAGTTGATGAGCACATATGTGTCCTTTATGAACAGCAACATCAGCGTAATTAGACACTGTAAGAAGAAAAATATGAGCTATGATGTCTTGCGGGATTTTAGTAGTCCAGATTCTTACCAGAAATATTAATGATGGCACCGGCGTTAGGCAATTAATGTTTATTAGCGAAATCGCCGCTGGTAGATGGCCATTGCGTGCTCCCACAAAAAACAAGCGAGATGATGCAAAGATGGCGCCGTTCAAGGAACCAAACGTCGAGCACGCCACAGCAAAGGGCATTATCCACGACAGGAAGCCCAGCATTTTGTCGCCGAAAGTCACGGCTACGGCATCAGATGTTAGTATTTCATCAGTGGAAAGCACCGAAAAGTATGCTACGTTAGTCACCATATAAATGATCGTGACAACCGGCATCGATATGCAAATGGCACGCGGTAAATTACGGTACGGATCTTTCAATTCCTCTGTAACGAAGTTCAAGTAGTTCCAGCCCGAGTAAGAAAACAACCCGCTGTAGAAGGCCAGCGCTATGTATCCAGGCTCTTTGTGTCCTCCGCTAAACGGCTGATCCCAGTAGTCTGTGTTGCCACCCGCCAAGTACCACACGCCAGCACCCACAATTACCATGAGCGCAACCACCTTTGTACCTGTGAATATGTCCGTTACCCGAGTGACCCATTTCACGTTGTAGCAGTTGATGACAGTCAGGACACCTGTTCAATATCATATATGATAAGAGTGCTATATGATACTATTACAAATCACCACTTACAGATCATAGCAGCGGCCAACAGCTGAACAGCCTCTATAGGTGCTTCGCATGAGGGCCAAAATGGTTTCAGCAGATACTGGGCGAATGTTAGCGCTGTGATGGCATTGCCGGTGGGCACAAGTATGAGCAGCGCTACCCACAGATACAGAAACGCAGGCAATGGCCCAAATGCAGTGCCAATATAGGCGTAGTCACCTCCTGATTTCGGTATCATGGTACCTACAAAAATAAAAACGTTTAGTTTTATGGCAACTCATTGATAATACGATCCTTGGTATTCTACATTTATAGTCAAAGGTCCTGATCTAGATTTTTAAAAGAATAGATGAGGATTTGAAATAAGGCTTTTATATTTCTCAGGCAGATGCAAAATTTAATGAAATATTAAACTTCATAACAGGATTATTTTCATAGATTTGTCTTTCATGTGGAAATTGTTTCTCGAGAAAATGTCCATGTACTTTTTGTAGAATTTAACGGAATCTATGCCACACAGTATCTGTTTGACTTATTACTTATGATTTAGCTTCATTTTGAAAAATCATTTGAAGATGCTTTTCCCCACAAGAAAACACTGTTTAATATAATTATAATTATAATTATATTTAAGTTTTAAAATATAACGAATTATTATTGTATTTAAGTTTTAATAGAATCTCTTATTGTTAAATTTTGATCATGAAAAATCTGTAATCAATAATGAACAATGAACTATGAATAATGAGTTAGGAATAATAAATAATAAATTACGAATAATTAATTATGATAATAAAGAATGAATAGTGAATAGTAACAAGTAAGAAAATTCTAGTCGAGACTGCTCGACTACTATCCCCTGAACCCTCCAAGCCACTGATATTTCGATTGCACTTGGGATGCGCTGCAGTGCTGGCAATATTTTGAGAATTTATTTATTGAGTAATTTGATTTCTAGATGTGATCTTCACACGTGTGTAAGCCCTCCAAGTGTACATACGCGTTCTGCAAAAGTAAAGTAAAGTTAAAGAAATCTTGATACAAATATACCACAAACCTCCTAACAGTGTCGAAGTGCTGCTGCAGTGTCTTCAGTAAGACACGGTGATCGTAGAAACGTCCAAAGTCGTCAAAACTACTTTTGTGCCAGCGAAATTGCAAAGTGGAGCCCCGGCCACACACCGGCGGCCACGCTCAAAACAGCTGAGCAAATTAGCTGGGCTTTCGGAACAAAGCTCAACTGGTTTGTGTCTTCGGAATCGTCATCACCCAAGAAATATAGCATACTTCTAGGGCGAAGTAAAACAAAAGAGCGATGAACACTGACAGTCTAGCAGCTGAATCCGAAAGGATTAAGGCAGAAATGCAGAGCAGAATTGATGCACGTATGGCACCAGCATCTAACAAGCCCGATCCAGCTATTATTGAGTTTCTTCAACAGCAGCAGCGACAATTCGACGTCATTAATGCTGAAATCAAAGCAATGCGAGAGCTGCAAGCTCAGCAAGCAAACGTCTTGACCAGCCTTATGGCTCTCATAACAAAACTCAGCTCGCTTCGCGTGGGCATATGGAACGCTAATGGCCTGAGCAGCAAGGCTCAAGAATTAGCCGTATTCTTATCACGGAGAAACATCGACGTCATGCTGATTGCAGAAACTCGTGAATGCCCCACGCTAAAAATCTACGGATACGAACACTATCACGCTCATGGTGGGGGTGCTAACAGTTTCGGAGGATCCTCGCTGCTTATCCGCTCAACTCTGGCACACACACCATCGGCTCAATTCTCCGACGCTACACTTCAATTCTCTGCCATTAGCCTTTCAACATCGATTGGCGAGATTGAGATTGCATCGATATACTGCCCGCCTAACGCAGATCTCCGTGTACAAGACATCGTACAACTCATCAATCGCAGAAACCAAAAAACGCTTATTGGAGGCGACTGGAATGGTTGGCACCCATTTTGGGGTAGCAGCAGAGCGAACCAACGCGGAGAGACAATATTCGACGCAATACAAAGCGCACAATACTCCATCCTGGCCACGGGAGCCCCCACACGCTACCCAATAAATGGACACCATCCCTCTGCAATCGACTTCGCTATCTACA